GAACATGTTAAAACTTCTGAATGCAGTATGTCAGTTTCTTATTTCAGCAACACTCACCTGATTTCCTGGCTGTACAACAGTATTATATTGGAAACCAGTGAACTATAGAAATTCAAAGGAAAAAAAATCTGCACAACCCAATTAAAAATTCCTTTTAAGGGAAATGAAGAAATAAAACTCTCATAAGAAATTCTAAGGAAAGGTGCTTCATTTAAACAGAGCATCAAGTTTGTAACACAGGAACTAGAAAAAGTTACACCAAACTATACTTACATTTTGAATATAATAGGTGTAATCTTGAGGATACCTACAAATAATGCAATAACAAACATGTAAATACATCAATAAATAAAAGGTGAGGAGAACATTTAGAAATTAAAATTGATTGGTAAAAGTGAACTTCATTTAAATTAATTCTTATCTGCCAAGCACAATAAATATTTTAGCTGACTATGAAAAAAAATGGGTTACCTTAGAGAAGCTTCTGCATGTTCCACAATAAAATCATTCTTGCCATTGTTACCAAGGCCAATGAGACACTTAATTACTTCCCCAGCTGGAAATACTGCCACACATACAAATGAGAATCAATGTCAAACATAAAAGAGGCTTGAGATTGTCAGCCAACTGCAAAGTGTGATTGAATGAATGGTAACAACTGTGTAGAGGGTTGTTGGTGAAAATCAAACATAGTTTGACAACCTGAATGGAAATGAGAATGACAGTAATTATAGAGAAGTTGCCAGTTTCCACCCCAGCTGAAACAATCACACCACATCATACTCTAAGCATGGACACAATTTCACCTCTGAACAACATTTCAAAGAAAACATATTCAAAATACCTTGGTTTCCAGGTTTGGTGAAGAGAATCACTGTATCAGCATCAGGAGATGGCTTGAGAGTTTCTTGTTTTTCCTCTTCTTCATCAGTAGACTCTGCATCAGTTTTCTACAGAAATGGAATAACCAGTGGTGCATAATGAATTGATGACAACTTCAATCATACATTATCAAGCCCAAGAATTAAAGCAAACTAATTTGTATGGCTGTATGACCAAAAGATTACTGTCAGCATGTGTCAAGTGAAAATTTTAAAACTGCCCAAGGCTGCTGTTAAGATAGTCTTTACAAAAATGAAATATCAAATACATCAAATTTTCTTGCTACTATACTTTACAAGTGTTTTAGAATAAATATCTGACAGTACTCTGTTGATTATAAGTCAAACCTGAATGTTTGTTCAACAGCATATTACATGTAGAACTTACAGAGTCTGCAGGAGCTGGGCTGTCTTCTCTATCTTCTTCCTCATCTTCAGCATCCACCTGTTTGAGAAACATACATGTAATGCAAATTAGAATTGCATTATCCACAATAAACAAAAATTACACAACATCAGCAGAAATTTGGTTTGGCTATAGAAATCAGAGATGTCTATTGGAATTATCAGTCAAGGGTAATTCTAAAAAGTCCTGTACTCAGAAGTGATTTTAGTTTGATGACACCAAAAATAAATGGAAACCAAAAATTATTTCATTTAATATATCACGGATTTGAAAACGCATCCAGCTATGCTTTGTTAACTTCATGGTCCTTCACCGTAACCAAAAATTAATTCAAGTCAACAGCTGAGTATGATTACATATGGTTCTGACCTTTCCATCATCTACATCTTCAACTACTTCTTCGACATATTCCTCATCAACTGTGGCCTCTGTAGCATCTGCTTCTGTTGGTTGTGCGACCTCTTGTTCGTTTTCAACTTCGTCTTCCCGAGCCATAACACACACATCTTTTGGAGACCCAGTGGTTGAATGCCACGTATACAAAGACGCCAAAATACAACACATGAGCATAAGTCAGGAAACAAACCCTTCATACTTTCAAAACAACTCAACTACTGCCCTTTACAGACTTAAATTAATTCACAAGAAGTCCTCAGACAAAACAAGGGAAATCACTCGCCCAACGCGAAGGAAAAAACAGGTCTGTTCCTTAAGAACAGAGAGAATGGAGCAATCGACGAGAAATACGACGGACTTGACAGTAAAACACTTTCAAGACCGAAGATAACCATCCAAAAGCTCATTCAAACTGTTTTTTTTTTTCGCGTTGGTAAAATCATTCCAAATGCCTAAAACATCACGGGACACAAGAGGGCCTTAACCGAACGTACAGACTTACTACATGAAAGGTAAAAATCACGCAAAACTAACTTACTCACCATTTCCGATCAGAAGCAGCGATGCCGGTAAAATTAAAAGAAAAAGAAAGAGAAGTTTCTGTAGTAAGGAAAACATAATGGATTGTTGCAAACACCGTTCCTTCTGGCAAGATGGAAACGGATTCTTTGACTGTGTTTTCACAATCAGACAAAGATGGCTGCCAGAACAAAGAGGACACATTAGTGCGCAGGCCGCCAACTTGACTTGTCAGCGGCACTAATTGGTGATTAGTTTCCAGCTTTTTCGCAACTAAGAGATTTCAAAGTTTTGGAATTAGAAAATTTCAATCTTCCCTTGCTGAAGAAACTTGATTTCAGTATGCTTATCAAAGTGAAGGTATTTTCATTTCGAGTCTTTAGGATTTATAATTAATTTTCTCTATTTTTAACACTGGTTTTCCCTTTTTCCTCTTTCTGGAAGACTTTAACAGGAAAAGAGGTAAGGTTGAATACTTGTACATGTGACTTGTCAAATTGTCCATATCTGTGACTTTAACGCCAGCTAAAAAGTGCAACTTTTGTAGGGAATAGGCATGATTTTCTGTCCTCATTGCTGTACTCCATCAGTTGAATGGATATATATACTTTGAAATCAAATTTTCATTTACCCACGATACCTCTTGCATGGGGAAGAACATGAAGTGTCTTATTGCCGAAAAAAATTAGTGTCTTCTGATCTACAGTATGATTTTCCAGCCACGAGCAATATTTTCGAATCAAAGGCTTCTTCAAACAACAAGAAAAGTTTCTGTTGATCTGGTTGCCTTAGCTCACATTTTTGAAAAAAAAAAAACAAAAACATGATATTCTTTATTTCAATTACCAGATTGAGATCGACATTGAGCCTACAGACAAGGTAAATATTGAAGTACAGTAAGTAGCCTCAAGCACTGGGTTTTTACAAATAAGAACACTAAATCTTATAGAACAACTATGTGCTCAGTAGTGCTCTAACATACAAGTGTAATACTTCTATTGAAATTTATGCACCTCAAGAAGAAGCAAAAAACACTAGCAATTAAGCAAATTTATGTTTTGTTTACTTGGATAAAGAAGAATACAGTGTACTTCAACCAATATGCAATGGGATTATTATTCTAAGCTGTAAACTAACCCATGCCTCTTCAGAACCACATGACCTATACATTTATTTATATTTATCCAACTGGAGATCTCCCTGTTATATTGCAGTATACTCTGAATCATTTAGTTTCAATAAATGAGAGTAATGATAAGTTCAGTCTGGACTTATTTTGGGAAGGTAGAGAGAAACAGTTGTCTGCAATTCTCAATTCCCATACTTCACTGTTGTTGTTGAAAGGTTGAAAGAATAAAAGAAAGAGTTGAAGAAAAGGAAGGAATCCCTCCTCCACAGCAAAGGTGAGATCTGCTATCCATTATGGTTTCTTGGTCTTGTAAAACTAAAAATCAAAATGCAAACACTCAGAAATGAGCTTGTCATTGCAGCACTACATTTTGTGAAAAAAAGTCGGTGATTCACACACTTAACTACTAGGATTGGTGTAATTTGATCTGTCTGGGATTATTAGTTATCAATTAACTCATCAATTAAATGTTGTAGAATGTATCAATTATGTCACCAAATTGTAAATGGTTTCATGCGAGAGTGGGATGTATTTCATAAAGTTGTAGTTTAAGTTAGATTATTAGAACATTTGAGCTGTTATAACAAGAGAATTGTTAGAACATTTGAGCTGATATAACAAGAAAATTATTAGAACTTTGTTGTGCTTGTCAAGAATAAATCTGTTGGAAAAGAAGATTGTTTACAGTCCTGCAGAGTCCAACCCTCTGATAATCTTCAGCCACTCACTCTTGTCATAAGAAGTACAGCTAACTTGCCACTGACCACTTAAGAATGAGGCCCGATCAGCTATCGATCTGGCTCTAGTTGTTTGAAGGTTGGATAACACTTTCCACTGGATACATCTCTATCTGGTGGATGGATTTTGTTGACACTTCTCTAGTGGACAGCAATTTACCGGTTCCATGGTGTTATCTGCCCTTTTAAAAATTGAACCTAGTCCTAAGTGGATATATCTAAATGATTGTCATACATGGTGAAGTACAAATGAGAAAAACTATCAATGAAATTACATGGGTTTTGCGAGTGCAATCAGCTTACACGTTTTCAGATTTTCTTAGATTTTACAATGAACTCTGCCAAAGTTTTGTAAGAGGTAATAAGGAATTTATAAAATTACTTCAATAATAGACTTGGGGTAATGGGCTACACTCTGCATCAAAAGGTCTAGCTTTGACTTATGCCCCCATCAATATGTTGTTCTTTAAGTGAGCCATTTTGCTTTCACAGAGTCCTTCTACCTAGTGGCATTTATGGGACTTCATAATCTGCCTGGGTGTATGGGGTAATCTGCAGTGGACTAATGTTTGACCCAGGGATAAAAACAATACTCTCAGGGCTTCATGTGAACAGAACTGGAGTAAGATGCATGAACTGGAGGGCTATTAAGCATGTGAGGTTTAACCACACATTGTTCCAATACAAGATATTCTTTAATGTTTAGCTTATTAATATTTTGTAACACTTGAAAACTGTTTCACTTGTAACTTGACCATAGAAAGACACATCCATGACTGTTAGGTCAGATCCTCTCCTCTTAACAGCCAAGGAGATGTTTGCTCCATCATTACTTGGTTTTTCTTTCTTTTCACAGCTACATGGCATCTGATTATAATGAACTTGTCATTTTGTTTCCTTCAGGTTGATATTTAGTGGAAAGCAAATGTAAGTACCCAGATACACTTGCAGAACCATTGTTACTAATAATTTACTCTGATGATGCAGATTACCAGACAAAGTACATGTCAGATGCAAAATAGAGTATTTGGAGTATTTCACCAAATCATTTGACTTTTACCCATTGTAAACACCTTTTAGAAGCTAAGGTTGTTACATCAGAAATTTAGTTACGCTTAGTTTAATCAGATACAGAGAGTGTAATAATTCCTAACAACATTCTTGTTTGGTTAAAAGACCAGGGTCTGTTATTGCTTTCTTGATTTTACACTCTCAGTTAACATTTATTTAATGAGATACGGCTTCACCAATCTTTTCAGCAATTTTCAATCAGTACAATAGTTCCAAACCTGAACTCTACATTGACAACTGTATCAATACTACCACCTCTACCAGAGAGGAGTTAACTCAATGTTATTACTGCTGTCAATTCATTTCATCCAGCTCTAAAATATACCTGGGAAATTTCAGACACTTCTTTGGCTTTTTTAGATATCTAAGTTTCAACTGAAAGCAACGGACTATAAACTAGTGTGTACCACAAACCTCCATGCTCACATAGTTACCTGTTCTATACATCTTCACATCCATCACATGTCAAGAATGCCATTCCTTTTTCTCAGTTTCTTAGTCTTTGTTGTTTATGTAGTGACAAATCAGAGGCAAAGGGCCAGTTTTTCAAAAAAAAGGTGGCTTTCCTTTTCCTGTCATCCAAGAGGGCCACCACTACATACTGATCCCATTCCATTCACTCTCACATTTCAAACTCACAACCACGCAGGTTAATCATTCTTAAAAACTATAAATTACTTCAATATGACTCAGACTGGAACTATCTTTTTGCAATGTCCACTAATTTTATTCAAACATGACACAAACATTGACAACTTTTTGGTCAGAAGTTCAATACAAATTAATGAGAAACCTGGAACTCGCACCTGATGCAAAACTTGCCCTTTCACTCACAACATTGAGAAAATATTGGGACCTAAGCGATCCATCAAGATTACTGATCACTTCGACTCGTCTATTGCATAACTTGGATTTAGTGCAAAAAGATACAGAGTCCTCAATTGGCATTTTTTTTAACTAGCTGATCAATTCCAAGAACAGCTTCTCAACATAAAGAGGGAGGACAAGGATGCATCCAAACCAGTTGTTAGACACTTTTATCTCCCTAATCATTCTAAGCAGCACATGTCAGTCTGTGGCCTTTCCTGTCTATGGCACTTCAGAAAGCAGCAAAACTTTAAAACAAAAATTGTATCTTTCCAATCAGCCCTCTTAATCCCCACAGTATTAATTAATGCTTTTCACTCTGCTGATTTACTCTCTCGTTGCCATCTTCCCACAAATAGTATAGCTCCATTTTCTGCATATAAACAGGTACACAACCTAAAATTCCTCCATTTGCTTGGATGAACAGCTAACACTCAAAATGTCAGCTCTGAAACTCTTCACAGTGGCCAATTTACTATAAAACCATATCAATATTTATAAATCTTTTTTGTGAAGGAATGATGACAAAACTGCTGCAGACTACAAGATCCAGGGTGGATCTGTTCTTCATCTTGTACTGGCCTTAAGAGGAGGGCTGTTCTAATAATAGAATTAGAATAATCATCAGTTTAGTAAATACAAAATATGTTTTGTTCACTATTTTTAGGGAAACAGTGTTAAATTGTAGTTTTCCTTGTTGTCAGTATGATAAAAATGTAAAATACATGCTGTCTTTGTAACCTTTGTGTTATGTTTTCTGCTACTCTAGTCTGGTATTTGTATGTAATGAAATAAAACTATGCAGTTAGTGGCATTTGTTTTGATGTTATTACCTGTAGATTTTCTCTCTGAGAAACCTGTGATCATGCCCTCTTCCTTTCCCCATTTATCTTTCATGGGAGGTGGGCATTTGTTCTTTGTTTGTTTTAAATTTCTAGTTCTACTTCTTTTATATGTGAAATAAAACAAGAAGGAGAAAAGGAACAAATATCCCCAAATTACTCTTTAAGCTACTAAGAGATTGTAAAAGGTCAATTTTTGGGGTGCTAGTATAGATAAGGTGGTATTTTTATTTGGTCCTTTGCTACTTCTCTAAAATCATTCCTTCGACAAAATTTGTGACATAGTGGCCTTACTACCAGCTGTTGGTGAGAAGCAAAGTGAGATGAATGAGAAGAAGTTAGTTAAGAATCTATCTATTGTAAGCCCCACCCAGTGTTTAATATAATAGAGCCCTGGATTGTAGTGCGGGAGGTCGAGGGTTCGAGTCCGGCCGGACCAATACTCAAGGTCTTAAAATAATTGAGAAGAATTTGCTACCTTTCTATAACATCAAGAAATGGTTAGATATTCTAGTCTTCTCGGATAGGGACGAATAAATGGAGGTCCCGTCTCCTGCAGGGTTGGGGCAGGAGACGTTAATTTCCCACACACGAGATTACTGTGTGATGGATGTCCTCCCCTGGGGTGGGATGGGTGGTTTAGGACAGCAGGTCCACATCAGCTATTACAGCTGCCAATTAATCAACCTGCTTAAACAAATAAATGAACTTGAACTTGAATGTTACTGGCCTTTCTTAAAACAACCATCACTCAAAATCTAAGGGGGTTCAATAGTTAATTGTTCAGGACTAACATTTTCAATTTTTGATCCTTTTTGGTTTCAATTCCTCTATCATGATGGTTTAGATCATAAATTTGATTTCAAACTTTAATAAGGCGAAATAAAATTCAATCCAGTTCAACATCGATCTTTTTTTCAGTTTTCTTGTTTTGCTACAGATCACTTATGATTCTCAGAGCCATTATTAAAAAGCATGTGTGAGATACTTTCTCACTACAATTTTGGATTCCAAAGAAATCACAACCATTCAAAACTCTTCAAGTGGCTGACTATGGGTGCCCTAATTTTGAAGTCAACTGATTGACCTGGCAGCACCAGGAAGACCTTAATGTGTGCCGCTCAGTAAGTCACTGCTCTGATTATCAAAAAAGATATAATTATTATTTGCAAAAAGATGCCTTTTTAAACAGCTTCAAGAGAAGGGAAAAAAGAGGTATGAGACTTTGGTCACAGTTGAATAGCTGGGTGAGATGCTCAGCCTCAGCAAGATTCAAAATGGCATAACACAGCACAGCATTTCCAGCACATTGAACGGTGATTTTGGAAAGGTTAGCCTACTTTTGGAATATCAAAATGCTATCAATGTCAAGCAAAGCTAACAATTGTGTGGTTTCTGAAGGATACTTTCTTTCCCCATCAATAACTGAAAATAATGATGTAAAGTACTGTATTAGAGGTCATCAATTAAAATTTTATCCGCAATCAATATCACAAAAACTAAGACCTAAGACCCCTCGAAAACTAAGACCCCTCTTTACAACCTGGACATAGTTAATAGAGCGAACATGACCTGGAGAAGCTACAACTTGGGAGATAATAATAATAATAATAATAATAATAATAATACACTATTTAGTGAGGGTGGCACGGAATAGTTGAAGTAACTAATAAACTTGTGGCGCTCTATTTAAAACCTAACAAGCAATGTATGTTGAATTCTAACATGACTATCAATAAAAACTAGGAATATCTCTCTAATAAGAAGACGAATTGCGAGTAAAAATAAAATGTAACTTGAGAGGAAATGATGT